ACAAAGAGAAAAAAAGCAGCCTTCAAAAAGCCACATGGGATTTCAAAGTTTGTCTCCCAGTAAGAAAATGGTCACATTGGGGATGGGTAGAAAACAGTCAGATGCTGACGACAACTACAAGGTGGAGCAACAGGGACCCAGGATGGAGGACAGTGTGGGGTGCGATGAGAAGGTGAGATGTGGTACTGCTCCCCAGGTCCCTTCAGCCTCCTTGCACTACATCTCCATGCAAACAGGCAACTCTCCCACCCATGGAGGCCTCCGGAGGTCCTGTAACCATCTCAAGTGACAAACGCACTCGGGAGGGCTGCCAGGAGCCAGGCAGTCCCTTTGTAGACCAGGTTTGATGGACATCTCCAGGCAGAAGTTGAACCATAAGCACATGAGCCGACACTTGGCCCCTTCTGCACCTCCACAACAGAGGTTGTGTCACAAAATGGTTACGTCTCACACTAGTGAGCAGCCCACAACATTGCTCTCAACCAGCTCTCCAGTCTCACCAGGAACAAACTTGTGCAAAGTTCTCTGCAGTGACCATGGGCTACTTCCATTGCTCCAACAGAAATACACGCCCCAGACCTCCAGGCAGCTTCCTCCCCACATTTTGTTCATTTTCCCTTCGCTGCACAAAGCTATGCTGCAGAATGAAATGCATCCAAATCGCTGAGGCTGTAATTTTCATGACACCACTGCCTGGCTCATTTCTCTCCTGTCCTCTCTGTTTTGTGAAGGTTAAAGGCATCTTTCCTCGGCGCCTGTCAGACTGTTATCTGGGCTGGAACTGGCTACCGAGCTCCACAAGGAATATTTTATGCAGATTCTCCGATGCGCCTTGGACGGCTCATCAGTAACCAACCTGCTGCCGCGCTGCTTCCCCAAGCCCACCTTGCGCATCCTCGCTGCCTTCCTCTGCCCCTGCCCCAATGCTTGCAGCAGCTCCCAGGCTAGCTGGGCACGTTCTTCCTCCGTGGCCTTTCTGGGAGGATTTTGAGGATGCTCTGGTCAGACTTCCTCACTGCTATCAGGACATCCTCAGGGATCAAGACCCAGTAGCAGCCCTGTGGGCCGAGTCCGAATTCGCAGTGAGAGGAGGGAGGATGCAGATGCCGCGGCCCTGCCCGCCAGCCCACCCTGCCTCCCCAAATACCAGCGCAGAGCACTCATGGCTTTCCACTAAGTGCTGATTATAAATGTCATGATTTCAGAGGGGGAAAGAAAACAGCTGCATTCGTCAGACACCAAGCACTGGCAGCTAAAAAAAAAACCATCTTGTAATGTGCGAGTAGAGTACGGAGTGCACGAGAATAAATAGGAGACCCTGTGGTAACATTTTTACAAGTCCCCTGACTGACTGTTAGAGCCCTTTAAATAGAACATGACTTAGAGTCCCCATTTACGGATCTCAGAAGCATGCTTAGCTTCTCCAGGGATCCCCAGCTTTAAACAAAAGATGGATCCAAGCAACTAAGCTCATGCCTGGCTCTGAAGTTGGGAGGACTTGCATTTGGCCTCCTCCCCATGTCTAGTTTTGAACTGCACTGGCATGAGGGCCTGTGCTCTTCTGGCCATGCTTCCCCCAGACAGTAAATCCCATTTTTATGGCACCAAGTTCAAGTCTGAAAACAATGCAAGGCACTGAACACATATAAACTCTTTCTCCTGCTCCACAAGAACTCCAAAGGGGCCAGGGAGATGTTTCTGCTGAATCAGGTATTGTTTTGCCTTCCCACCACTGGCAGGAAGCCAGTCGCACACCATATTTTATGAGCTAGATAATTTGGCAAAAATGTGATCATGTGCTCACCCCCTATTCAGACCCAATTCATCCCGTGGGGTGATCAGGTAGGGAGCAGATTAACTAAGAGGAAACTGCAGTTGCAGGAAGTGATCTGGCATCCTCCTTTGGACGCAGCTCATGAGCACTGAAGACTTGGCCACCCCGGGCTTGCCCCGTGCTGCCTCCTTCGCTCAAGCGCAGGTACCGCTGGCCGCCCAGGCCCCCTTACCCGCAGTGCGGTGCCATGAGGAGGGATCAGTGTCCCCTCTCTGAGAGTCTTTGAATCCCTGTGCTGGCCCCGGGGCCCGGACCTGCTGCCAGGCCAGCGTGCCAGGTCAGGGTTTGATCAGAGAGATTTGCTGGTCTGGCCTGAAGTTGGCTGCAAGCTACACCCCAGATGCTTGTCCCCAGCTTGGCACCTTCAGAGGAGTTAGAGTCAGCACTGCCCGCTGAGGGCAGGGAGAGCAGAGCCCAGGGAGAGCTTGAATGCTTTTGAAAAATCTCCAGGGCTCCGGCGGAAAAGGCGGTGTTTGTACCCAGCATGCCAGAGATAAAGCGATTTACTGAGTCAATTGTCTTTTTTCCAAGGACAAACATGTGTGATAGAAGATCTCCAGATCTGCTGGCACGCTGTGAGCTCTGGGCCATCAGCCCTTTCACTGTCTCAATTCATCTGTCAATAAACCACTATGCCCATTAAGGCCAGAGAAATGGAAAAGGATGTTAGTGGTCCACCCAGCAAGGATTAAATGCCTTGTTGCACAAAAGATGGTTACCCAAGATTTCCCACTGGAAGTGCCTAAATTCCTGATGGTGATTCACAATCCCCTCCTAAGCAAAACAGAAAGAAAAGCAATAAACAGCAGCAACGTTTTTAGTGCCACAAACCCCCTACAAGAAGCGATATGAAGAGTGCAGGACTTTGCCATTGGCTGGGAATTCACACTTCTTGTTGCTCCCTGAAACAGCTCAGTGTGAAAACAGCTCTGGGTCAAAACAAAGAGCTAATTTCCTTCAGAGCACAGGGAGGGAGGAAACCAAGTGTCCTCTTGGTGGAGGTCAATCCCTTATGCTCTGCTATGTCCCCAAACTTCCACAACACCTCTAGACTTACCTCAGCCTCACACTCCGCTCATGGAGACAGCCTCAGCATGACAGATTTGCCGCTCTGGACGCCTCCCAGAACTGGCAGCCCTGGAAGCACCATCACATCCTCCAGCTTCGTGCATTTCATAAAAGTCAATGGGTGAAGATGAGAAGAAATGTGTTCATTTTCCAACTGTGTTGGTGGCTCACCTGGAAGATGGAAAGGTTGATGAGGAATGCAGCAGGCCAAGAGAGGCCATGTCTCCACTGAAGACAGTTCAAAATGAGAGCCTGCTCCCAGTCTGCCCCAATAGTGTGCCACAGCATAGCTCTGAAGAGGAAACTTCGGAAAAATTAAAAGACTAAACAGACATTGATAAGGGGAAGAATACCTAAGATTGTCAAAACTAAGAAATATTTCCGGAAGGGCATAAACCCTCTCTGGACTTATTTCACCCCCTAAGAGAAGCCCAGGACAGAGTTAACAAGAGGAAAGGGATAAATGATCCACAAGATGTTCACTCTGTGGAGGGGCTGTTCCTGCCTTTTTTGTCAGTGTCTTCCTCTGGGGCATATTCCTGGGACCTGATGAAAGGAGACATAGTAGCAGGAGTAACTCACACCTGAGCCTGACCATCAGTGCCATCGTTTCCCTCAGCTGCCTTTGCAAGGCCCGCGACCAGTGTCCATAATTCAACAAAGGTGCAAGTCTGAAGCCAGACCCCAGCCAGACCCTTGGAACCAGGGCTCATTTCCAAGATGGCTCAAAGCAAATGCTTGGGGCACTTTGTTATAGAGCAGGAACAAAACGGGAGAAACTAGGAAGGCTACTTGTTTTACTTGTAACCTAAATCTCAGACTCTGCCCTTTCCCCGGCCAAGTGCCTAGGAGAAAAAACTGGGAGTGGATTTTTTTTTTTTTCAGCACAGAAGAAAATGGCTAATTTAAAACAATTATGCAACAGCTAATTAAAATCATCTCTGTGTCCTAGAAAGGCGACTGGCCAGGTACTCAGCATGAACCGTTTGGCTTTGTGGAGCAGCATCTTGTTAAAGCTCTTCATCCCGCAGCGGAGTCGGCTGGGCCCATCCTGCGCGTGTCTGCGGAGAGCGGCTGATCGGCTTCCTGGCGTCAGCGGATTGATTCCTCCCTCTTCCCCTGCTCCGCAATGTACCTGAGGCACCGGCTGTGCTTTATGAAGTCTAAAATTTTCAACTGGTTGTGTCTTTCCATGCAAACTCATTAGACACTATTTACACCCGCTGCAGCTGTGCAGAGAGAGGTTCTGAACTCTGGCATTCTACAGTAGGCTTTGTTTCTCATTTACATTTGCATATTAAAGTGTTTGCCTGAAATAGGCTATTGAAATTAATTCAGGATTAATTGGTGTCTTTATCTCATTAGGACAATCTAATTTAAGGATGATGAAATTGTTTAGCCTCCCGTTTGCATAATTAGATTGCTTTGAATTGCTGTCATTATTGTGCTCTTTAGCATCATCTGTAGGCCTCAAACAGACAAGAGTTTCAACCTCATAAAGACCAATCATGTGTTACAGCAGAGCGCTGTTAACCCCTTTTAACCCAAACTCCCTCCAACGTGCCAGTGCACGATGGAGCGGACGCTCGGCAGCGCAGTGAGGACGCAGAGGTCTCCTCACCCCCTGTAATGGTGCAGCCCCGGCTCCCCCTGACATGTCTGGGGCCGCGAGGTAGAGCCCAAGGAGCTGCATGGGAAAGTCACCGGGGGCACCAGACAAGCACAGCTGGCAGGTGGTCCCATTTCACCTGGCCTTCCACCAGGAAGGGGAGCAGCTCTCCCAAACAGTGGGGAGAAGCCCCATGGCCAGAGGGCAAGTGGGCCAAGGGCTCTGCAGCACATGGGCAGGACATGGGATGTCGTTGCAGGGAGCCCAAGCAGAGCACAAGTGCTCCTTCTCCCTCTGAAGTCACTGGAAAGGAGCAGTGAGAAGGTGCCCAAGAACCGCTTGATGCCACATCTCCTGTGTGCTCTTGGAAAAACCACTTAGGCTCCGTGGCCAAGCTCTTTGGGATGGCTAGATTTCCATCTATGGGACCCTGTGCTGGAAGGGATGCTTGCACCTGTGGGAAACACAGTATTTTTCCCCCTCAAGAACTTACCAAACTCCATCTCCTCCTTTTCCGGTTTGGCGGATATTCCCAAACCTCTGGGCAAGAAATGTTCCTCCAGATGTCCTAGCCAATATGTAGCCCTCAGATCTGGTATCAACATGCTCCTTCAGTTCAAATACTTTTTCTCTGTCAATATGTTTAGCTTCAGGCTAAAAGGAGAGAGGAAACAGACACCGTTGTCTTTCACATTACATGCATCTCACCTGGAACAGGGTTTTGACTCATTGTCTGACCCACAATCAACACCTCTTTTCTCCAGGCCTTTGGGTGGGCATGGCCTGAGCTACACGGATGCACACACTAAGGGCCCTGTCCTTCTGAGACCCTGAGAAAACGGTGGCAGGACTCCAGCTACGCCCAGGGCCTTAAACTGGGTGCTCACTCGGTATATCCCCCAGTGATGGGAGAGCGTATGCAGATCTGTGGGGAGGTTCCACCAGAGCCCACCTGGACAGGAAAAGAGCAAAGGAGAATAGAAGCAGACCCCAGGTTGGATAATCTTTCAGTCTAGAACCAGCGTAGACTGACCTGATGCCACAGTAGAGCAGACCAAGCCATGCCAGCCCTGTGCAGGGATCAGTTTTACCTAAGGACAGCAGGGAGGCCCAGGGATTTCCAAGACAGCAGTGGAAGGAAGAGACCAAGGCAAGGAAATAATCATAGCACAGCAGTGCCCATGACCACACCGAGGGTCAATATCCCTTTACGCTTAGTGTGTGCCCTAAAAAAATCACCCACTGAGCACGTGCCATGGGATATGTGGTCTCAGGATGCAGCAGGAGCTTGTCTGGAGCACATCGGCTGGAATCTGCAGCTGTCTGGAGGCCCCAGCACCCCCATGAGGGACATGTTCCCCATGAGCTGCATTTGACCTGATTTTCGCCACGGCCTTCCCCAGCTTGAGCTCCCTTCGCTCTCGGAGTCTTTCCAGCAGGGTCCACTGTCACCACGCGGCATCGACCGAGCAGCTCTCCTGCATCATCCTCACAACCTAGCTACCTACACCAGCAAGGCCCATGGGAGCAGCGCAGAGAACGGAGGTAGGACCCAGGGGACTTAGGCACCTGAGGCCTACTGGGACACGTGGGCTAGAGCCACCTGTCTGTTGTGGCCAGCCAAAGTCAACACTAACTCCCAGCACAGGGTACAAGTTCAGCAAGTTTAGCCAAAACCTCACTTTTCCATGGAAAGCTCCATTAAAAATAGCCTCTTCAGCCACACATACCATCCAAAACATGCATCTCAGAATAGTTTTTACAAGAGAGCATCACACAGTGAGCAACTGGCTTCCAGGCTACCAGGAGGGGCTGCAGCCTTGGGCATACCTCCTGCACCAGGCCAAACTAGCTTTCCAGATGGTCGCCAGAAGCTGATAGCCACCAAAGTGACCGAATCCAGCCCCTGGGATGCTCCCTGGGCACCGAGAGTGGGAACAGGGTCAAGATGGCAGCTCTGCAGTTGTTCCTGGGGACGTTCTCCGTCTGTCCTGGCCCAGCTTGACGCGAGAGACCTGCTTCTCATTAGCGGGCGGCTGGCTCGGGAGGTGAGGGCTGAGCCAGGCAGCCTGCTTCGCCAGTCACTTCACGTATTGTAACATCTGGTTGTGTCTCATCACAGTGCAAATTTATGACCCTGGAAACAACATGTTGATGATGCACTGGGAAGAGGAGCTGGAGCTATAAACCTGTGTCCAGAGCGAGGACAAGAGGAGCTGCCACCTGAGCGCTTGGCTGCATGGAGGAGCTGAGGCATGGCAGACCTGCGCTTCCTCATGCAACGTGAGGGACTGGCAGGGGGGAAGAAGCTCCCAATGATGAGACACGGCATCATTTTTCACTCTAAATCTCTCTCCTCTGGAAAAAAAATGCAAATTCAGCAGAAGCCAACTTCGCACAACTTCATCTCAATGAATTGCTCACTTCCAAACCTGCCAGCAAACAGGAAACACTCAAGAAAAATGAAACATTTCATTGAATGTTTTAGAAAGAAACATTTCCATTTGCAGTGACTGGTCAGTTATACCTTTCATTTCACGGTTAAAATTATAAAGAGGTTTAAAGTAACTCGCAACAGAAACGACGTGTTGCATTTTGGGCCCTTGAAAGTGTTTTGTTTGGCTCAAGTAAATGTTTCATTACTTTTTCCAGAGACTGAATATATCAGCAGAACTAGAATACAGCTGGACTTGGAAAGTCTTGTTTACAGGTCTACACCAAAGATGCTTTAAGAGATGTTTTGGTTCTAACAAATGTTTTTGGCTTTGTTAGAGTTGTGGTGGAAAAGGAAGGAAAAAAAGAAAAAAGAACAACTTTGCCAGTCATCAGTTAGACAGCCAAAGAATATTAAACTAGAGTCAGTGAAAGTGAAACATCTTGTGGAAAAACTATGTAAAGTTTGTCTGAACCCTTCAGTTTTGCAGACTATTTTTTTGGTCCGTAGTACTGCTATAAGGCCTTCTAAACTGCTACATTGTAGAAGACAATCTGCACGATGCATATTGTACCTAGCAGGAGGCAGAGTAGGGAACAGAAGTGAAGACATTGTCACCAAAACCTAAGGTGCTATTCAAGAGAGAGAGGGTAAAATTTCCTCCCTTGGCAGGCCACAGGCTCCACAGTATGAGCCGTGGCCAGAGCATAAAAGATAGGATGTGGGATAAGAGCAGCAACAGCTGCACTGAACCACGGGCCAAAGGTGATTCAGTTGAGTACAGAAAAGGCCAACAGTGCCCAGAGGTGGGTGAGCCGACAGCAGCTAAGGCTCAGGAATAATCTGTCCTCTGCCCCGCGCTGGCTGGAGCGCATGGACAGTGAGCATCAGACCAGGTGCAGTGTGGAGGAGAGAGCTGAGGCTGTCTGGAGATCTGGGCAACACTATGAAAGAGCGAGGGAGACATGAGACAGCCTTCAAATACGCCACAGGCTTTCCTCCCTGCCAGCAGCAGAAGGCATAAAAAGTCACAGCTCAAACTACCGCCGGGAAATCTCAAATTAACTTGCAGGAAAAAGTTGCTGGTGGTGGGCACAGCAAGGCAGTGAGAGGCAGCCTGGGGCACACACGGCCTGCAGGATTTGCAAGCATGTCAAACACCCAGCTGGCAGCACCAATACGACTATCATGGTCTCTTCCTATTTGTGAACCCCCATGGCTTTACAGGGGATGTGCAGACTCTGGGTAAAGAAAATCGAACGGACCAGTACACCCCTTGATGGCTTCTCCAGCCCTACGAGTGTACGGCTATGATAAGTATTGGCACCACTCACTAGCAGCCAAGCTTATTTTCTATCAGATATCATGGCAGAGATGTCTTAAGGAAGGACATTGCAATTGCTAGCCAATGAATTTACCCCTGTCCCCTCTGGGGCCAGGGATTTTTAGAGAACAGCTAAGTATTTCAGTTAAGAATATTTCGGTACTGCTACTTCTGAGCAGTCAGGGCCTAAAAGGACAGAACTGAACAATTGGCCTGAAAACCAACAGCAAGTTACTCTGTTACTCAGGGTAGATTTGTGGCGATTCATGATAAATTATATTGTTATCCCTACAAAATTGTTTAGCTTCCCCTGGAACCCAATGGACCTGCTATTTCTTTCTCTAGAGAAGCACTGGTGAGACTAAGTGATTATGTTGCATCAGGTTTCAGCAGAGAGGGTGTTAGGGAGATATCTGCTGAAGTGAATAAAGATGAACCCTTCTCAGAGACCAAAGATGGTGCTTGAGTCTACTGATAAATTAGAGAGTAAATAAAAGGTGAACGAGGTAACTTGGCTTCCTAGAGAAGCTCCAAGGTGAAACACTGCCCTGCCAACAGGCTTGTGCTTTCTCTCCAGAAACGACCTGTAAAATAGCAGGTTTTACAGCTCACTTCTAAAAGGTCCTGCAAAGATATAGGAGCTACACAGTAACAAGTCCTTCCCCATACCAGAGATCGCAGATTTAAACCCAACAGAGGCACAAGGGCAACCTGCAGCTCTTGCACATCGGTTAATCCAGCTGCCAACAGAGGTTCAGACCTCTACTGTACGCTGTCCACATAACATGGACTATCCAGTAGCAAGGGGTATCCAGTATCAAAAGGAAAACAAAATCTGTCCCATCTATTAGTGCATGACAATCCTATCAACTACAGAAAGCAATACGCTTGTCAGAAACTGCACAGGGAATCCAGAAATCTTTGACCAAAGATTCACATCTGCTTGAGAAGCAAAACTGTCAGGAAGCTTAAACTAGTGCAAATATGCCAGTATGATACAGCAAGAATTCTGTCGAAAACCTGGTCACGATCATTAGCAAACTTCTACAACCAAAACTCACCAACCAAAACACAGGTCAGGGAGGAACTGAACACGTAGAGATTCTTGGCTTGCAGCTCACAGAGGTATGTGCCCACACTGCCCCTCGGCTCAGCCACGGTTTGTGTCTGCGAGTTAACATGGGCTAGAGCAGATGTACAGCTATCCAGCACCTACCGAACTCATGCGCTCCAAGCTGGCTGAAATCCTCTTCCCCAGAGGACTTAATCAGCAGTGTTCAGTAACAGGTCTTTATGTTCACCGTGCACACAGAGGAAGAAGGTTTATAAAAATAATCTGTACTAACTTAATCTAGTTTGAATTAACCTCTTTGACTTGAGACTGAAAAAGACAGAGCACCAAGTCCATCGTACTGCCGCAGGTGAGTAAGATGCAATTTCTGTGCCCAAACTGAAAGTTAACAAGAGAAAGAAACACTGCAGCGCTAGAGTCAAACCAGGAGCTCCCTGAGTCCTGGGAGGCTCTGCTGCCCAGCCCAGGCTCTCGCCTGTCTCCCTCCTGCCCAACCAAGGCCTCGGAAGCCACGTCCACCCTCCTGGCTCACGTGTCCCTCCAGGCCAGGGACTGGCCTCTCCGACCACAGCACTCCCAGGCACGCGCCCCTGGGCCACCCACCAGCCCCTTGCTGCTCCTGGGGTTGCCTTTGGCATGTGTGCCCGTCCTCTCCTCGGCTCCCAGGCCACAGAGCTCTTGGTTTGGTCAACGACTCCTGACCCATGTAGGTTATTGGTCTCATAATCACCCAGCCTAGGTTTCTAACTGCCAATCAGGCCTCTCCTTTGATCAGTGTTATAATCAGATACAGCACTCCAGCATGGATTATTAAGTTTTAACAG